CCGCTCCCATCGGGCGCCGACGCGGTCGAGGGCCATGGCGAGATTCAGCCCGGCCTCCACGCACTCCTTGCCGAGCGCCTCCTCGGGCGCGGCCGCAGCCCCTGCGGCCGCCAGCGCGTCAAGGGAAGACCGCGAGCGCAAGCTCATAAATCGCGGGAAGGTCCCGCATGGCGGCCCCAGAACGGCTCGATCTCCAGGGCGAGCACGTCGGGGTCGGCGAGGTCCTCGAGAAGGCCGCGCTGCGCGTCGCGGCCGATGGCGGTCCACCCGCGGCGCCCCAGCGCGGCGCTCAGGGGGGCCTTCGGTCTGCTGACTGCGTCGTGGAGGACGGGCGGCCTGCGTCCGAAGACGGAACGATGCACGCGCACGGCCCAGAGCGAGAGCTTCTGGGCGGCGGCAATGGACCCGCCACCACGGGCGGGCGCAGTCTGGCCTTACGCATCTCAGCACCCCTGGTCAGCTCGCCTGTAGGATCGCGGGCACCTCGCACCCAGAAAGAGAGGATGGGAACACCCCGCTCACAGCAAAAACAAGGGAGTCATGGCAAAGATCCCGTTGAGGATCCTGCTGTACGATCGTCCGGACAGCAACTCCACGTGCAACCTGTGAGCCCACGAACAATGGAATGCGCTCACAGCGCATGTCTGGGCCCTGGAACGCCAGCTTAACCAACGATCTGAAGGCAACGGCCACCTGAGCGTCGATATGGCACCGTCCGAGATCCAATAGCTGGGCAGGTCGGTAAACTGACTGGGCAAGCTCGCCGGGGTCTGGGGGCCCAAATGGCTTGAGTCTGGCCGCGCCTATCCGCCGAGGAGCTCGCGCCCAAAGACAGACCGCCCCCTCCACGTTGAGAGGCGCCGCAGCGACTCCGCCGACCAAGAGAACGGCGTCCGAGGCGAAGACCTGCTCGGCCACCGTCAAGCGAGCTTCTGAAGAGCGGGAACAGGAGGACCATCCGCATCGCCTCGTCAAGACACCCGATCGGCAGCCGCCACCACGATGTCGGGTCTACCCCAGGCACGCGAAGCCACGCGTAGAGCTTGTCCACGAGGCACATGGCGGCCAGGCGAAACATCTGGCGGTGGACTCGACACCCGACAAGCCCCCTCACGAGCGAGACCGATGCGGCACCGACGAGGACGATGCACGCGGTGATCACGCCGAGCTGCTTGATCCCGCGTCGAATCGTTCTCTCGACGGACGCGCTGGAGACCTGCCTACCGGATCGGATCAGAGGCGCCAGGGCCATCGCAGAGGCCGATGACCACGCGGCCGTCAGCGTGGACGCCCTCGACGACGCGATCCGAAGCAGGGGCCCGACCATAGGTGGGCCACCCCCGCAGCTGCAGTATTACTATCGAAACACTTGAGGGAACCGAGTTTCGATAAAGACCGAAAACGTGATTTTCGATTTTTTTTTTTTTTTAGCAAAATGATTCTAGCATGTTTTCCGCGCAGTGCCGTGCGAGGACAGAGCTCTCTGAGGGTCGCGGTGGCGAGGGCCGTCGAGGAGACACCCTGCGGAGCGCAGGCATGGCTGATGCGCGATCTGGGCCGCCCCCGGGGCCTTCTGGCCCCCCGCGGCAGGCGCGGCCAGGGCCGGCGCGACCCCGCCACGGCCTCGCTGGCGGAGACAATCCACCTCGCAGGAGATCCCCTGCTCCAGCAGCTCGTCGGCCCCGAGTTCGAAACCAAGGATGGCCTCCTGGGCCCGGGCATCAGGCCTCTGCGGGGGGCGGAAGCTCGCCGGCCCAACGGGCCAACGGGGCGCGCTGAGATCTCCGGCAGAAGGTTAACAGCAGTTTCAGTTCGCGCGCGCGCGCTGCGGCCCCTGGGACCCCTGGACGGAAAGTGCCTGGGCGATGCCTGGGCGCTCCAGCAACGCACCAGGAGGGCGCCGGGGCGCCCCCTGCACGGCCCGAAGACCCCGAGTCGCCCAAAGGTCGCTCCAAGACGCTCAAGATGGTCTCCAGATGGCCCCAGAGGCTGCGACCAAGCCCCAAGAGAGCCTGAAGAGGCTCTCCAGGAGGGCCCCAACAAGCAAAGATCGCCCCATTCCCATAGGAAAACGTAGATTCTTCGCATCTGCGACGTTCGGGGGTTCACAGACGGCCCAGCGCGCCCCCAAGATGGGCCCACGAGGCCCCCATGAGGCCCCAGGAGGCCCCAACGCGGCCCCCAAGAGGCATCAAAACTGCCTCCCAGCGGCCCCCGAGAGGCCAACCACGAGAGCCCAACAACATTCATGAGGCCTCCGACCCACCGCCCAGGCACGGTGGCGGGATGGCCCGACGGCCAATAGATCCGCCGCCCCCTGCTTGCAGGGGTGCACGGCGTGCTGGATGAGCTGTTAGGTTTTGGTTTTGGTTCTTTTTCCAAAAGAACTCCCCAGTGGGCTCCGGCAGAACCCGCCGGCCACCCGGAAGGGTGCTCAACGACCGGAAAAAATCCTCCAAAAACGGCCGTTTCGCTCGGGACATCCTCAAACAATCGCGAAGATGGCCCAAGATGGCCTCCAAGTCCGCCCGAGATGGTCCAAGACGGCCTCCCAAACGGCCCAAGAGAGTCCAAGACGGCCCAAGACGGCCCAAGAGGCCCCCCAGAGGCCTCCCAGACGGCCCAAGAGGCCTCCAAGAGGTCCTCCAGGAGAGTCCGAAGAGGCCAAAATCATTGATTTTCCATGGTTTTTGAAGGATTTTGGCATTTGCGCCTTTTCGGCTCTCCGACGGCTCAAGACGGCCCAAGAAGCCCCCAAGATCGCCAAAAAGGCCCCCAAGAGGGCCCCATGACGGCCCAAGTGGCCTCCAAGATGGCCCCTAGAGGGCCCCAAGACGGCCCAAGAGGCCTCCAACACGCCCAAGACGGCCTCCAAGACGCCCAAGATGGCCTCCAAGACGGCCCTGGAGCGCCCCAAGAGGGTCCCCCGTTGGCCCAGAAAGGCCCCCAAAACGGCTCCCGACGGCGTCGTCAGACGTGCCAGGAACCCACCAAGATGGCCGAAGTTGGCTCGAAGCTGGCCCAAAAGGGCCCAAGAGGCCCCCAAGAGGGCCTCCAGGAAGGCCAAAAGATGCCAAAATCAATGATTTTCCCAGGGTTTTTGATGGATTTGGGCATTTCCCTTTTTGCGGCCGTCCGACGGCCCGAGACGGCCCAAGAGCCCCCAAAGATCGCCGAAAGATCGCCCAAGAGGCCTCCAAGACGGCGACGATGACCATCAAGACGCCCACGTGTTCCCCGAAGGCTTTCCAAACCGATTCGGGGAACACATGGTCCGATGGCTTGGCAGGTCTGGCCTCAACGTTCGGCCACATACGCGCCTCCACAAAGGCAGGGGGCGGCGGTGATTCGCCGTAGGCGTCTTCGATAATCAATAACCCCACCCAGCAGCGCCGCATTGACAACGATCACTCGGGCAATTGGCAGCGCCCCAAGTGGCCCTCGTCGAACGATCGGCCCGAGACTGAGACACCCACGATGGCTTCCAGACGGCCCACGACGCGTACATGACCGCCGAAGCGGCCACCTGTGGAAGGGACGAGTGCGCCTGAGAGCCCACGTGCATGTGCCCACCCCCTGGGCGGCAATAGGAGTCGGGATGCCCCCCAGAGACGCGCGGGCAGAAATGCGGGCGTCGCCACCGGCATGGCTCGCAACATCCTCGCACCACTAAGAAGCCTCCCGAGAGAGCCCCAAGAGGCACGCTCCGACAAACGACAACGGCGAGGCAGTGTAGGCCGGCGGAATGAGCTAAGCGATTGCATAATCCTTGGCATCGTCCGCGGAGGTCGACAAGCACCCGCCCCCCAGGTGGAACAGCTCCGCGAACTGCGAAGCGCGGGGAGCGCGGGCGGGGGCGGCAAGGAACTCGAGGTAGGCGCATCGGCCTCGGGAATCTCCGCGGCGAACGCATGCGCGAGGAGGACCTCCCCCAGGGACTTTTCAAGGGAGTTGCGCCGCCGCCTGTCGACGATCACCCTCAGCCTGCGGACGCCCTTCTCTTCGACGCCGAGGAGCCCCGCGCGGACAGGGGGCCCGCGCGCGATTGATGGCTCGCCGGACGGGCGAGCCGCAGCAGCCAGGCGCCCCAGGCGCGCGCCGCCACTGCGGCCCAGTGGCCCACGCGCGCGCGCACGGGGGGCAGCTGGCTGGGATGGCGGCTCGGCTCGAGGTTGAGGGCTCGAGGCACGCGGCAGATGGCGCCGTGCTCGGGCGGCGCGACTGGCTTCTGGAGCGCGATCGCCGCTGGCCGGCGCGCGCAGCGCAGCCGGGCGGGGCGGGCGGCCCAGCGCGGGCCGGGGGGCGCCCGCCCGGCGCGCAGCCCGCGGGGATGGCGCGCGGGGCGGCGCGCCCGAGAGCAGCACGGCAGACCCCGGCAGCGCGCAGGCAGCATGGCGCCTCTGGCAGCTGCAGCAGGAGCAGCCCGACGGACCCCCCCCTCTCGTTCCTCTCGGCAGCACCTGATCGGCGCGCGAGCCTGCGAAGGGGGCTGTCAGCCTCGGGGAGGTAGACGCTCCAGCCACTGCAAGAGAAGGAGCATCCGCCTCGGGTGGGCGCCCCAGCCAGGTCAAGACGGAGAGGAGAGTGGAGGGCTCGCCGCCGGGGGGGGGGGGGCAGCACGCGCGTCGGGAGCACCAGATCGGCGCGCGGGCACGCGGAAAAGAAGCAGAGGGCGCCCACCCTGCGGGGCGGCCGCCCAAGGCGGAGGGAAAGCAGGCAACGCGAGCACGGCGTGCCACATTTGGGGGGTAGCACACGCACCAGGAGCGCCTGATCGGCGCACGAACCGATTTCTCTCCCGCACCCAGCGAGGAGCAGCTCCGCCCGCGCCCGCGCGCCCGGGCCCGCGCCCTCCG